TAATATACAATTAACATCTGTTTTTTCTCGACTAAATTAATAATATATCGATTAATTTCATAGCTTTCACGGTTAATCATCCAAAACGCATTAGTTCTACTTAATTATCACGTTGCTACATCACCCACGTAGTTAATAAAACCAACTTACGATTGCTTACATTGTAAATAAACTGTCAGGCTGTCGATTTATGGCCGGCCAAACCGTGAATATCTTTCCATTTCTAAATATACATATTACTTTGTAATACCGCGTTACTTTGTAGCCAAGATGTGACGTGAACTCGCGGTGATTCTGTCGCGAATTAAAAATCGTAGAAGAAATCGAATGGCGAATGAACAAAGCGGACGAATTTTTAAGGGAGCGGCCATTTTTAAGTCAAAACCTATTCTCAACGCACTTATCGTTCTCCTCGTTCAATTTAATCCTATTTAATAGCACGCGCTGAATCGTTTCGTGATATCTACTTTGAAGATTTCATTTTTTTTTCTCAATTTTAATCCTTTGATGATTAAGAGATTTTTCGAAATGAATGTTGGTACGTATGAATTATGGTTACGTATGCAGGATCAATAATGCAGAGCAAAGTGTGGAAAACAAAGAAATTATATCGATCCAATGATCTAACAAAATGTAGGAAAGCTTTAAATGTCTCAAATGTTTTGTCTTCCATTCCTTTTTAGAAAACTCGTGCGATTGAAATAATTTGTAAATGCAAATGGAATGAAAGGATAGAAAGAATTTCGCGGGAATTTTGAAATAGTCAAAACTGTTTATCTGAAGTGTTATAAATATTTAACTTTTGGAAAAATGTTATAAATTCTTTCAAGATGATATTAATCATATAAATAATATTTATACATATACATATACATATCATATTATCATACGATAAAATTGTATCATTATTGATATATCCAATCAATAACATTTACTCCTAATCATAATCATAATAATTTTAACGAAGGCTCGTCGAATGGAAGACACACAAGCAAATGATAATTTCTTTATTAGGAGGGGCATGTTTAGATTATTTATTATTATTCCATCAAACGCGTATATACATATATGTTAGATGATCGTAATTAATTTTACATCGTTTACATCGTCAACAGCAATTATTAAATGATCCTCGTTTTTCAAACTGGTTCCAACGATAACGCTTCACCTGTCGTAATTGCGAGTAATAATAAATAATTCACTGCTAGATTTTATTATGTTCAACTCAATTCTTCTTATATAAATTGTAGTAGACGTAGCGAAATTAAAAGATAATGTGTGAAAAATCATTAAATAACACCTAAGATAATAGCAGAATATTATCGATACAGATCTACGTAGAACACTGATTGAAATTAACATTTTTCTATTATGCTGCCTTTTAACCTTGAAATTACTTGAATCGAATCGAATATCGTATCTGTGTTATTATCACCTTATCTTATTTAGATAATAAAATCATTAATTACTTATCTGACAAATCAATGCAGTATTAAACAAAAAATATATATATATAAGGTATAAAAGAATTTTCAAATGTCTAATTTTCTATTTGCATATGCATTCAATAATCAATTTTCAATTAACCGATAATTGACATATTTTTGGGATACCATAATTTTGGATTTCGTTGCATTTTTACAATTGCACATATCAAAAGTTATCTGCAGAAATTTTAGTGCTGCATTGAATTTGTTAAACGAATAAAAGGTATTCTATGATTGCTTCCAAAGTAACAAGATAATAACAGAATGCAGCAACGTGTTCAATATTCATTATATTATGTTATTTGCTTTTTGCTTTTTTTCAAGACTATAAGAAAAGTATATAATTTCGCATTAAGTTTTCATAAAATCTTAAAATTTGTCGATATCGATTATACTTTACAATTTTGTTGCTTATACGACATTTAATTAAAACGTGATATTATGATTGCATCGACATCATTACAAACATGAAAATATTATAACAATATTGTAACACAATATTTAAATTCCTAACCTAGCTACATTGAAATCATGTTGAAGTAATTTATGCAACTTATCTATTATGGAAATTGGATTTAGCGATTTCCATAATGATCTCTAATGGATTTTGCTTTAAATCGGAATATTACAGGAGATCTTATATTTATGATGTTGCAAATAATCATGATATTTTTCTCGACTATTTTTTTCTTTTGAATAATTTCGATTTATCCTTTTATTTCAATCTACATAAATTAATAATAAATTAAACCTTACGATACGGGATTAGGAATAGTTGATTATTTACAATCAAATTATCTCGTTTTACAGTACGTATCATCCCGGTAAAATATTTTATGCGATACTCTTTCCTATTCTCGATAATATTGAGGTTAGGTAATTAAAGCTTTACAGCGAACTCGTAGGTTTGTTCACAATAAGGTATATATCACGAGATGGTAAAAAATTAGACGTGGAAGCAGACATTTACGATACAATAAATTGTACGGTTAATAATCAACTGCAATTACAATCACGTATTCGAATCATTAAACAACCCACTCCACCTTCCTCGATCGTTTTCGAGTAGGCGATCATTCTTTCAACGATTTATCATTCTATTAATCATTCGGTATTACGACATCAATTTGGCAATTCATCTTTTAACGTTGCTACTTTTCAATCAAGTCTTCAATTGATTATTAACTGAGCATATTACAGAGATATTAGCGATTATGAATGAATCAAATGATGAACTAAATTACAAAGTTAATGCAACTTGAATCAAGAAAAAGAAGATAAAAAGAACTTAATAATTTTTTTTATATAGTTTTCAATAGATTTTTAAATTCAATTGGATCATTTATCGATTTATATTTTATATTGTATCGAATTACTTAGAATTCATACGTGTGAATATATGAATTTTCAAATAGAGGTCTTATATTGAATAAAATTTTTAAATGTATTGATGCAATATTATATCTCGAATTAAGAAATCTTAGAATTCCATTTGCAATTCCATTTCCATAAATTACATAGTATAAAATATGTACAAAATGTTAATATATTTGTAGAATTTGAAAAGTCAATTTTAGAGACCAAAATTTAATATGCAAAATTAAATTTATATATTTCAAAGTACATAAAAATCTATAGTATATAATATACACAAAAATATATAGAATATTACATTACTATTATAAATGGTAAAAACATTCATTATGATATTTAGAAGATAAAAATATAAATATCTTTGATAGAAATTTCACTCGATCTTTAATTACTTAATAAATAAGTCTCAATCAATATTTTTGCATACATTCTTACATTCTTACATTCACTTTGAATCAATTCTTCAATGATGCTCCATTATATTATATTAACACTTGCGCAACATCAACAAGTTGCACTGTTTCATCGATTCCAATCATTTGAACAAGATCAAAAAATAAAGATCCTTAAATAAAAAAGTAATTTTAAAAAATGGACGCTTGACGCGTATACAATCTGTTATAACGAGAAGATCCTCCGTGTTACGATTTATCAAGTTGTAAAACGGCCAATGGATGTTAGCTGTCAGCTCGGCCAACCAACGATTTGTCATCCAGCCACGGGCTGCTGACTCCCGATACGCAGCACAGAGGGTTCCTGACTACTAAGTTTCTTAGGATTCCGCGAAGACGGTCGGTGATGGCATTCTGTCACGGCTTTTACGCCAGTGTCAGATCGATACGAGTGACCGCGTAAAACTAAACGCGATAAAGGCGCGACAGTCGAAAAAAGACGTCACTGCACTTTAGACATTGACGTTTAAAGCGTGTGAATAATAAGCTTTGAATGGATAAGACGATTTGAGAGTATGCGACATCTTTAGGTTTGTTCGTTTCCTTGTCTCTAAAGAGGCAATTGAACGAATGTGAATTGAACAAATGATTGATCTTGAGCATTTCTTTTTTGAAAAATCGTGAGATTTTAGTTACAAACTGAGATTTGTAACTAAATAAGTGATCTTATTTATGAATAGATTTATGTTACTTAAGAATTTGTAGAAAATTTCGAGTTAAGATTATTTAATAGTATTTTGTTTTTTAAATGTACTTGAATCCTATCCTGTCCTATCCTGATTTTAGATTTTGTCAGTCTTCTTGTTTTGAAAAACACTGAAAATATACAGGATTGATTACTCATATAAGATTGTTTTTTTTTTAATTTTAAATATTAACATAGTTAAAAAATTTCCAAAATAAAAATTCATCAAACTTTTTGATAAATTGGACAAATTACCTTTAGAAAAAACTCGAGTTTCGAAGTTTTTAAATTCGAATTTCACGAATCTCTTCAAAAATCAAATTTCAATATTTTTCCATCATTCTTTTTTTATTTGATTCATCATTATTTTCTCTGAAACTTTCGAACTCGTTCTTTCACTCTTTCTCCATACAAGAATATCGTTTAAGTAAGTGGTTCTGGCAACAATGAGAAATTGGAAGCGGTAAACATATGGAAGCATATGGTCTAAGAGGGCGCGTTTCCATGCATATTAAACAGGAACCGAAGAACTCGTAACTATTCCACGTACAAAGAGTAGCTTCTACGTGTTGGCTACCGGTAAACCACGTTCGTAACGCAGTCGTAATATTTATTTTTTCTTCTTTTTTTTTTTCTTCCTCATTTCGCAAAGCTGACAATTCGCCTCGTGTTTTCGTGGATACGGGTTCTTACAACTTTATCCTCGTTGTGAATCTCGAGAAAGAGATGACATCTGGAAAACTATTCGAGTTAAACATCCATCATTCGAACATCTTTCTTCTCGGTCACATTTTTTAAAGGATAGACAAAGTTGGTGCATTATCCTTTCAACGTTACCATTACCAAGTTCATACATTACCTTGGAGAATTTGCTTTCAAATTAAAAGCATCCTTAGAACAACGTGATTTGAACTCGTTTCAACGTGACATATAGAGAAATGTTCGGAGTAACAGTCACAAGTATTGTAACATAGCGGTTATATATGTTGTCTCCAGTTGCTCTTTGTATTAGCAATTGATTGCAATCTGTTTGCATGATTAAAGCTGAGGAAAATAAGTTTTTCGAACAATTCTTTTTTATCGAAATATTTTTTTGAATTGAATGAATTTTAAAATCATTCAAATACTTATGTCACTCGAGACGTTCTATTCCTGAAATTGAAGAAATCATATGAAAGGATAAATACTTTAATCTTATTAAATGATTCATTTGGACCATAACAATTTTACATCACACAACTCTTAATTTATTTAAAATATTTATTATTCAAAAATTAAATTAATCTTACCTATTTCGAAACACGTAAACTTACAAATTATATTATCACATCCATTTCCTTGTGTCTTCCTTCTTGCTCACTAAAAAAAAATATAACGTTTTATTCAAATTAAATAAAACAAAAATTATAAATAAAACAAATTTCAGTATCGAAGCAAAAATTAAACAAAACAAATTTCAGTATAAAAATTTTTAAACGCCTTAATCCTCGATCCTCCACTTAACTTTGCTCGAGGATTCAAGGCACTCGAACATCGAAAACGACCTATCGAAAACTCGTTTCCCACTAACCAAACCAAACCGAACGAGGATAAATAGCCGTTTAAATCCCTTTGGACGATGTTCGCGCCTTTTTTTCACGAGATTCGCAGGGAATTAAGGCGGTGAAGATATTGCAGAAAGATCAGCTTTCTTGGGTTTGAGGCTCGTTGGTATGCAGTCGGCTTAGTTTCTTGCAAATTCGCATTCTCTTTGCCGCTTGAAATGACGTTGGACAGCTTCCTCGTGTTTTCACCCTGTTTATGCATTATGCAAGCATGAAACCGGGACGTGAAGAAGAGAAGATGAGAAGAGCAGAGAAACGAGATAATGAGAGGGCGGTCAATGATATAGGTTTAATCGTCACTTGAAACACTTAAAGCCTTGTATCCACTGTTAAATTTTGATAAGAGATAATTTGATAAGAGAATTGTGTTGATTCTGATTCGCGAATTGGAATTTTTATAAAATGTTGAAAAGTTATTGAGTTGTTTGTTATATGCAGTCTATAATTGGCATTGGCATTATTTAGTATTTTATTCTTTTTGAAATAAAATACTAAACTTACTTTCTTTTTAAATTGTTGAAAAATTATTAAAAATATTACTTTCATTGATTTTATATATTTTTGTTTGCTAATTTAATTTTTATTTTTCAACAAATAATTCTTTTTATTATCTAAAAATAATTTTAAGAAAGAAAAAAAATGTGAACCAGATTTATTAAAGTAGATTAATCATTTCAAGAAGATGATCATATTCATTTTAAAATATCAATAAATTTATAATGTACAATTAAAAATAAAACGAAATGAAAAGATTCAAGAATTAATTTCACACTAAATTTGGAAAATTAAATTTCATTATTGTATAATCAAAATAATTTTATATATCGTCCAATGAATGAATCATTTAAAAATCATTCGTGAAGACCAGTGGATAAGCGGCTTAATGGTTGTTCCAAGCAGACGTCGTTGACCATCTTCACTGATACACGAGCTTCCCTCTCTTTCTTTACCCTTTCGAACGTCGTTTTACATACCATAAATCATCGTAACAATATTACTTGGCCATGTTAATTTGCTTCATATTTTTCATTATACCGGAAGCGATAAATCTGAACTGGTTTCTGGTAGACCTTTTTACATATTTTTTTCGAAGACTCCTTTCTTCACGGATAGGATAGAGTATTTTCGTTGTTCCGAGTTTTGATGGATTTGGGATCATTCGTTATTAAGAAGCTCTCGAGAATCATTTCTAATCGTTGATGATGGAACCAGAATTTTACGAGATATTAGATTTACAGTTCTGCGTTGCTTTTATGGTTCTGTTGGCTCGTCTTTACGATTCTCATTGCGACTTTGATGTTTTTTTATCCCTGTCGACAGGGTAATTCCATATTTAGTTGAAGTTAGTAAAAATTTATTATTATTTAACTTAACAGATAAATATTTATGATTGACGAAAAATATAAGTTGTATCATGATAAAAACTTGTTAAAATGATGTATTTTTTATAATATATATTAAATATTATATATAATATATATTAAATATGATTATATATATGATAATACAAAGTATGTTAAAAACGTGACTCTATTAAACTTGTTAATTTTCATCATATTACCTTAATTACAGTAATTTTCTTTTTCATCAATGCATCAACTTTATTTAAATATTGATTGGCCTAATAACAGTATTTTTTCATTCAATTTTTTTAACTCTTCTCCTTCTTTCAACATTCACCAAAAATTCTTACTTGATTATAATTATATCTTTATTGTATTCAATTATTTACTTCACAGTTTTTCACTTTACTATTCCTGCAATTTAGATATGTGTTAAATAAATATTCCATAATAGAACTTTAAAAAAAAAAACAATAAAAAAAATTTCATCCTCACAATATCTCTCCAACACATGTTACTCTCTACAATAACTCTTTTCGAAGAATCATCCATACAATTCATCTCCATTCATTCATCTATGTATAACTTCTGTTCAAGAAACGCAATATCTGATGAATATATTCTCTTGTTCATCGCTTATTGCATAATACACACGTGTACTTCAAAGCAATCCCCTTAATCAGATGGTTCACGGTAATTTCGTTAAGTAGCTGTTCAGTTCTGCTATTTGCACCAATTCATCGTTTACCGTTAAACAATCCTTACATACCAGATTCCGTCGCATATAATTACAAGTAGATTGGATACACAATCTTTCCTTCTCCTTCGATTTTCTCTTTTCTCGCCGCAAAATTCCGATCGTTATCTGGTTGCTCAGACTTAAACGAAACTTATTACTTGTCGTGTTCCCTTCGAGGTCCATAGAATTCGAACGACCTATAAATACCATCGTTCCTTCTCCCTCTTTCTCTCTTTCTGTTTCTCTTCGGTGATTGCTTGATGCTTCTTAAGCAATGTTCGTTCTTCGTGACAAAGAATTCGATAAATGCAAATTTTGAGTTATGTCACTTTTTCAACAAATTAGCAAATGGACCTGTAAATAACATTTATTCTATTATTTTGGATCTTTATACATAAATTATTATAGTATTGATACGTTTTCAATTTTTTTTATTATTCTGAAAGTATCAGCGTAATTTTAAAATATTTATTCCATCGTTCTTTTCGATATATTCACTAAATATTTAATACTAATTTGAATAATTTTACTATTTTTAATATTATAATGATATCGATGCAGTTCGATATTATAATATATATCAACTTCGACTTTCTACTCTTTTAATACAAAATTCTCATGAACTGCTTGAAAATCATAAATCATAATCTCACTACGCTAATCTTTTCTTAGTTACAACCGCCATAGAAGGAGAGAAGACTTCTTCGGAAGCCGTGAATCAAGCGTAAAAGCGGTCTGACCTTTAGCCGATGCTGGACGTATGGTAAATTACCAAACGACAACCAGTCAGATAGCATCTGACACAACATTTTTACGGTTCTCGAGTCGGCATACTAAGGAGTCATTACTTAGTCATAATAGGATTAAGGGCGTGCTGATGCAATCTGTGGCGCGAACACCGACACAGGGAGAACTGACCGATCTTCTCTTCTCTGTTTCCTCCTATTCGAGCTATCATTGTAGCGATGGGATCAAGTATCTCACAGATAGATTCAGAAACATTTGAATATGGATATGAATAGATCATGAATCCATATATTTATGTGTTTTTAAATTTTATCATTATCTCTTGATTTTCCACGTAATTATTTATAAATATATTCCTGAATATCAAAGAAGAAAAATAATTAATACATTATAAATTATAAATAGAAACTTATTCGTAATTATTTTAGAATAATAAAAGTTTATATTCAATTTATAATTAGGATTCTAATTATCATTACAAATTTTTGCAAATTATTATTTGACCTAGAATTATCATTATCTTTTGATTTTCCATGTAATTATTCATAAATATATCCCTGAATATCAAAGAAGGAAAATAATTAATATATTACATATAAATAGAAACTTATCCGTAATTATTTTAGAATAATAAAAGTTTATATTTATAATTAGGATTCTAATTATCATTACAAATTTTTGCAAATTATTATTTGACGTAGAAATTACGTCAATAATTATCATAAAATTGTCTTTAATAAAAAACATACAATATTAATATATTACACGTGTGTGATTTATATTATGTTTCAATTTTTTTCTAAGATAAATGCATGATATCTTATTTATTATCATTAGAAATATTTCAATATACTAATATTTCAAAATACCATAGATATATATAATGTATAATTATCACTGGTTTGACATTACAACACATAGTTTTTAATTATTTTAAAATTTTTTTTCGATTGGCAAAATTCAATATTATTAATCATTATTATTTATAAATAGATCATTAAACGATAAATACCAGTCTAGTGAAACATGCCTCAATTTATAAAAACTTCAGCAAAAAAGAAAATTCAACGGAACAAATCTCTCTTCTTTTCCATTAGTCATTTTTACATTATACCCACAACATTCGTTTCCTCCAATGCAACACCTGTTCTCTCTATCTCTCTTTATTCGTACAAAATCACAATCGCGTCTACGATAAACAACTCTCTAAACATTTTCTTCCTACAAACAGCGATATATCCACGATTAGTTTCAGTGCAATAATCGCAAATCTAATTGATCCGAACCGGTAACAAGGTTTCAAATATCCAGTGTGACACAAGAGAGTTCAGCATCTGGTACAATTGCGAAATCGATTCATTCACTCGTTCTACCTCGTGACCGGTTTTGTATTTTCACCAAACGAGAAACTGTTGCCTTTGTTACATGAACACAGGATCTGCAAGACGAACAATGAATCGTTGTCGTTCAAATAGTTTACCAGATAAGGAAAACGACTATCGATTATTTAATCCGGATTTGAGGTTAAGTTGTCGAAAAAGTCGAAATCAACGACTGTCGTGTGCCAATTGTTTATCATAGAGCTTTCGAATGGTTTAATTTCAATGAAATTGAGTTCAATGTATATAATATTTATAAATGTAGTCAAATTTAATGTAAAAAATTTATTTTAGGAATCAAGTATTATTAGAAAGAAATGAATTTGACAGATGTTGATTCTGATGTTTGCAAAGTTGGTAGTTTCGAATTTTAGAATGAGTATTTAGTTTTGAGAAATTTAATTATATTTTCTTCGATATTATAAAAATTTCTTTTATAAATAGTGATCAAATTGTGAGATTTCTAGTAAATATATATTTATCAAATTTCAAATCAATTCAATCAATATTCGATTTTACTTTGAATTAATCTTTTTATTTTTAAAAGTAATTAGATAAACACAATTAATTAGGCACTTCATAAAAAACTTATAGAATTTATTCCAAATTCCATTATTCTAACCTATTCATTAGAATATTATTTTGTCAAATACGTAATTTTATTAAATTGATACATTTATTTTTCAAATTTCATCATTTTCATTATTTTAAAATTTTCTCATGATACTTCACAATATTGAAATAGTACAACAAAATATTTCTATTCGCGTACGATTTATAATTTATTAAATTTATTTATAAAATATCACTTGCCTTATTACCAAATTTATTTACCGCTATTACGCAACAAAATTTATTAACATTTTCTACTTATAACTCATAATACATAAAATTTCTTTAATAATATTATTAGTTAAATTGCGTAAGAATGCTCTGGTTTCGAACAGTCAAGGTATGCTGCGCCCATTTCCATTGTCACTGCTATGCGATGTCAGACATATTTGTTGATTCGAGATCCCATCGAGAAATCGATTTATCGAACGACAGCTATAAAGATTGTATCGATTTGTGACGCGTAACAGAAGGATACGACTATCCTAAAAGGACCGATGTCATGTCAATTTTTCTGTTCAGAATACGAACGAAATAATTTTTTAATCTGTAGTTTCGATCGATCGAGGCGTGGACAACCGCGATCGAGATCGTGATATTGCGTTAATTGACGAGGATTTAAATTAATTGTCGTCTAACGAGAAATTGTAGATTTATCGGCAATAAATCTTATTTTTTTGCTCGTTTTCACTGGTTTCCAGAAAGTGGTGGACGGGTTTCCGAGTTGCGTGTAATTTGGATCGATTCTAAATCGATAAATATTCTCGATATATTAATGGAGTGGTTGGTACTAAACGATGATTTGTAACGTGAAGACGATTTTTATAATTCATTTTTGTGAATTATATCAATGATTGTATCGATATATATCATATATCAATGTACGTATTTCAATAATTATATCAATATATTTATTAGTTGTATTATTAATTTATAATTATTATCTATTAATATGTTATGTGCTATAATATTATATTATATTATTTTTTGTAGTTGCTATTTCGAAGTTCATCAATTAAAATAAATAAAATTAAATATGCAATTAATTAAACGAAACACGTTTACCTTGGAATAAAATCGATCTAAATTAAGATGTACAATTTTTTGCATCATCATAATTAAGGAATATGATTAAGTGACTCATTTCACGAAGAATATTCTTCATATGATTTTATGATTTTCTATCATAAAAAAACAATAGAATTTTTTTGCTTATCTAATACTTCAATAATTTCATCAAATGGCGGTAATTTCAAAATTGATTACGCTATTGTTACAAAACTTATTTAAGTATTTTATTCTAATAATTTATAATAAATAATTACGTTACAACAATTTATTCGTACTTCAAATATTTTTTCAGCAATTCACCAAATATAGATAATATTTTTGCGATATAAAATGTAATATCCATGGCCATACTCTCAAGTCATTCCTCAAGTCATTCTCATCCTTCTTTCCTTGGTTTGCTGAGCTCACGTACAATTCATCTTGTTCGGCGCGTGCCGAGGGCGATGAGCGAAACGCTCGTTCTCCAACGTGTGTTTAGACCGAATATTTCTTCGGGAACGCAAAATTGCAACAGAAGATATAATTCAAGATCCATGAAGTCACGTTCCATTCCGTTAAATCGAGTCGATCCGGATCGAACAGAGAGAGATTTATTTGAGAATTATTAATGTTTCACGGAGAAAAGAAAAAAAATGGATTGTATAGTACGAGTTTTTTTTTTAATTTGCTATTGGGAAAGTATGTTAAATGTTACATATTTATATATATATATATATTTATTTAAAATTTTTTTAAATAATTTTTCGATAATTTAATATTTAATGTTTTAATGTTATTAATCTAATATAGGTAATAATTAGGTTGAATCCATTAAAATTAGAATTCAATTTTTTGATACATAAACTATAGAAAGTTCTAATAAAATAAAATTTTTTATTAGCATATTCAATATGGATCTATGTATAGATATTCTAATTCTATCCTCGAAGAAATGAAATTAAATCTAAATAAATATTATCTCCTCATTTTGTTTGCAAAACACATATAAATTCACTTAATTTGTACTTAATTAAGTGATTTCTATTTATATTTAAAGCATGATCGAAGATCATTTGATACATGTATTAATTTCATCATTCAGAAATATTTTGTCCACGATATATTCTACATACCAACTTCATTTAAACATGTTAAGATATCTCAGAATTTCATTAAAGTTAATATTATTCATCTTATTATTTCGTTTTATCGTAAAGATTAAGAATTAATCAATATAATTTTTATGTGATTTTTAACACATGGTATCGTACATAGAATTATTTTTATTATATATTTATTTCATAAATTTAATCGAATAAAATCATGTTGAACGAATAATATATTTATTCGATCGAAATATGTAAAATTATATCTTTATCTTGTATTTTGTTAAAAATCATTGAAATGAGAGAAGTTGGACGTGAATCACTCACAATAATAGTGAACATGTCAAACATATTATTTTACATCACGTGGTCAGACACGCCAGATAATGTACAACCCTGCTCGACAAACTAGTCATAAATTCCATAGAAACGGCGAAACAATGACGCTAATTATCTAAAGCAATATATAATTATTCCCACACGTGTTCTGCTTCTGTACAATAAAGTTATGCATATTTCATATTGATTGTTATTTAAATCGGATCTGGAATGGTTTATATGAACCAATTCTTCTCTGAACGACTACTGAATAAATTAGGTTGACATAACATTTTTGTTTTTGAAATGAAATAATTACACATTTATATGTTTTCTTCGAAATACTGTATTTAATCAAAACAATTTTCTAATATAAACAATTAAATATAATAATTTATATGCTTTTTTTAACGATTCAAATAATTTCAATTCCAAATTCATAAGAATTATTAATTCTATAATTTAAACATCTTTGATTAAAAAATTAATAATATAATGATAAAAAAATAATAATATAAATAATGAATAAATAAATCATTTGCGTTAATGCATTTGCAATAAATCAGAATCAAATTTTATATGATATAATTCGGGTTAAATCTAGGTTAGGTTATTTTCATATGATAAATATTAATCTTTTTATTCTTTAATAATATTTAAGCTACGCATTTTTATGCAACTGAAAAATATTCAAATATTAATAATATTTAATTAATAATTAATAATACAAAAATTTTATAAAATTTTATAAATATCAATCTGAAATAAATTAAAAAATCAAACAATCAAGGAAAAAGGATATAGAAAAGAAACAATATATCATGTTAACTATAGATATTAATAAAAGATACAAAAAAACAAAACTAGGAAATGCTCGTTTCACGATCAAAATGCCGGAAATTCTATTTAACTTTGAAGTTTACCGAGACGTTGACATCGATACCACAGTATAGTGATGCAAATGAAGCCGCAACTCGGTTGTCTGGTATTAACAGACTATGTATAACCGGCCATTCGCAGCCAGGACGACTCTGTGAGAAGCAAAATTTTTTCACATTTGGCCCATGCCGATAATTTTCAGTGGGTATGTATTTTCAAAAGTAGAAAACACGCTAGCTCTTATATTAACCTTTTAAAGGAAGAATATTTTGAAACGTATACAGAGTGTTAATGCATTCGTAAATCTTTGAATTCTATGATCAATACAAAAGTTAATATGCAAAAATATAATATTAAAACTTATTTATTAAATTGTAACGCAATTGAAATTTGTATTAAATGAAACGACATGGAAATAAAATAAGATGGTATTATCTTTGTTTTCTCATTCTGTTTGTCTTGTTTGTAACATAATATATGTCTCAATCGACATCTTTGCATATTAATTTTTGTGTTTGATCTGTGAAATCGACCCAAAGTATCTAATGAATATATTAACATTCTGTATACAGTAACAGTTTTGTTTATATTTGGTGCTTTTAGTTTTCGTTTAGAAAGTGCATTCTATTGGTGATACATTAAGCGAACTTTACTTTCTCATAGGTCATTCTTATAGGTTAGGAGATACGAAAGAATTTCTTCTAATTTCATAATAGTTTCTTTTTTATTATTTAATTATTTATTCGTATTTTAGTTATTTATATATATCTGTATGTGATTATGAATGATTAATACATTATTCAATTTATATTGCATATTAATTAGCATTCTAGTAACATAAAGTTATTCATAAAGTATTTATATTGTAAGCAGATTATTTTTATTAAAATATAATTACAATTAGTTTCAAAATTATACATCAATCTTTGTTCAATGACATGTTTTAATTGACCATGTTAAAAATTATTTTTTGTTGATAATTAACAATATATTTTATATTTTTATTAAACAAATTTATCATTTTCCTAATTGTTTATTATTTCTATCATTTCTGAAATTCAATTTAATAAAGATGATTATATTTCTATAAAAAATATACTATCAATATATAAAATAAAAAGCATTTAATAATAAAGCAATTCTTAATCTTCTTGAACTGATAGGTTATAGTTTGAATACAGTGAAATTTCATAAAATCTATTTTAATGAAAATAGTTTTCCAAATGTGTATTTCAGATTAAACTTTATTATTTATGCAATATTTATAATAATATTAACAATAAATATACAGTATTATCTATTTATGAAAGTTTATATAATCTAATATTTCTATTGAAATTATTATATTTTGCATA